GAGGTAGCTATGGCAGGAGGGTAGGATTCGGGCTGGAATTAGGGAAGAGCTCTGTCGCAGAATTAGCCTGGATTTTATTCCTGACAAAAGAATTGGTCTGCCGAGGTCTGGAATTGTTCTGGCGGACCCGCCGGAGGTATTCGAATTGCGCTGTGGAGCCTCGGAATTGGGCTGTGCTGCGCCTGAATTGGCCTGTCCGGGTGTCGAATTGGCCTGTCCGGGTGCCGAATTGGCCTAACAGGGTATTGAATTAGCCTGACAGGGTATCGAATTGACCTGTTCGGGGTGTCAAATTGGCCTGACAGGGTATCGAATTAGCCTGACAGGGTGTCGAATTGGCTGTCAAGTTGGCAGGATTGGCTCGGGCTGGCATCCAAAAGCACATGACTTTTAAGGAATTTACAGAAAAACTTTGCAAGAGGACCGCTTACAAGTGCCTCATGTGTGTATTAGATTCGATCCCACGACATGGAGTGGAAAAACTTGCACACCTGGTTACCGTACTCTGGCACTACTACTACTACCGGAGGCAAGCACTCAGGGCCACGACTGCATTACCCAGTCAAGTCAGCTGCCGAGGTCCCACTGTTTTCCCACCACACTTTATCGACAGTCCGTCCAGTTTATCCCACAACACTCGTTTGCATGAATAGGTTCGGGTGGAAACAATGACAAATCTCTGATAAACCGCTAAACTCAGTACCACGAGCTACATTGAAAACAAATGAAAATGCAGATGTCTGCCGAGAAGAATATGTTCGCCATATGCAATCTATGCCTTAATCCATCGAGCTCTCCGTTGGGCGGGGCATGGCCCATGAAGTCGCCCCCGGTATTCCGCCCATACAACCAAACACTGACACAAAACGTTGCACGTCTGGGCCCATGTAAACCACGACACTTCCGTGTGGATTGGCTACCCCCGCTCCCCATGTCAGGGGTCCTCCCTCCTGCTGTTGACTCCCGGATTGCCCACGCACAAACGCCAAACGTTGGCGCAGAAAACAGACAGGCCATTGTAGTATGGCATCAAACCACGCATAACCCACAGCGGCTTTCAGTAGCAGTACTGCTTGGTGAATGTGACCAGCCGTGTACTCTGTTGCGCATCTCTGGAAAAACAGGCTCTGATAGCTTGCACCACCCTGCACCCCAAAAGGCGGGTTGACAAACACATTGCCCATCCACGCGTTGCACTCCAACAGACCATCGGATTCCATATCGTAATACACTGTCGCCCCAACACGTGTGTTAGCAGCCGCGGACGAGCATGGGTCCAGGTCGATCCTGCCAGGAGTGAACACCTCGCGCACCAGCTCTATGATACTCAGTGGGGTGAACCACTCCGGACTCTCACTGGAGAGAAACAGGCGCACATTCCCACCCCCTCCGCTTCGAACCATATGGACTCCCTCACCAGACTCGCTATCGCTAATATCCATGTCGCCACGTCGGGGCTGACGATGCGCTGTGCCTCCGGATCCATGTTGGGACCAACGGTGCGCGCTCCAGGTGCAGGAGTGGGTGAAGTGCACGGTAAGATGCGGCGCCCACTGTCTACGGCATTGGGCTGCTGCTCTCGCCGACGTGTGCGCCTGTGCTGAAACTGGCTGTAGAGGCGCTGATACTCCTCCTCTGCCGCCTCGTCCGACATGCCATATAGATGCATGCGCATGTCAGGTGGCCAGGCACAGCTGACGTCTCGCACTCCAGGTGGTGGCATGGGCCGCGCGACAAGGCCACCCTGCTGGGTGAGCCGCTGTGTCTCTTGCTTGCACGCCATCATGTGCTGGCGTGTTTTGACGTGGTTGATAATATTCTCGATGTTGCCAGTCTTAGCACCGATGAACC